AGGGGGGCCCGGCGGAGGAGGGGGAGGAGGCCACTGGCCGGGGGGAGCGATGCGAAGCGCACATGTCGGAGGGGTTTCGGGTGGGTTCGGGCACGGCGCCGAGCSCCCSGGGSGCTCGGCGCCGTCCTCGGCCGCTCCCCACCGGCGGGAACGCCTGGCCATCTCGATGTATGAGACGGGGGCCGCTCCCGGCCCCGCGGCCCACGGCCCCCCAGCCCTGGACTCTCTAACAGCTCGCCTGCAGCCCCTCAACACAGCCAGCGTAAGTTAGAACCCCTCCGCGGCCCTTTTCACCTTCCCACCTGCCTTTCAGGGGCTCTGATTGGCTGTTTTCTTTGGGGTGATAATCCAGTCCTGATCTATTTTTTCTTCTTATCTCTGCATCTCGATAACCGATCCTTCTCTTTAAAAGATCTAAGCTGTGCACAGAGGTCTGATTTGTCCAAACAGCCTGAAACAAACGTGCACATGGCAGATCTGAAGGAGAAGGATGGAAAACAGAGAATGTTTCCACTCTTCTTTGCCTGGCCTCTGATGCTCTGTTCTTCAGCCTGCATCCTGTCAGCACTTTCTGATCTCCACCGTAGCTCTTCTGCAGATGCTTCATTTGAAAATCTCCCTCTCTGACACACAAACAAGTGCATGAACGATTTACCGGGGAACCCCCGTGTTTTTTTCCTCACCAACAGCGAATTGAACCGTTTGCTAAGAGGGTTTCTGATTTTTGCTGACKAGCAGGCGACCCATTCAGCAGAACCACACACTTCTGCCTCGATCTCGCAAAGAGCCACAGTTCAGCATCTCTTTCCACAGGTTTTTACCTGTTTTTTGTGTTTTATCTCTTGTCTGTTCACCGTCTGCACTTCGCTCACTGCAGTGCAGCTGCTTCATCTGCCTTTTCATCTTCAGCCTCTGGGTTTCTCCCGCTGCCTCTTGCGTTTGATGCTTTCTGTTTGTGGAGATCAATGCTTTTTTACTGTTAGTCGTGTTGTTTTTAACGCAGCGTGTAGTTGTAATTTACCAGCTAGTTCAATTGTGTGCCAAGAATATTATTAATAGGAAACCAAAAAGGTGCATATGTTGTGTACCTCGTTATACAGTATTTCTCTGTCCCCCACCTACTACCTTACTTGTTTTCATTTTTTCCAATTTGTCTTTCACCCTSCCCTTTCTGCTGTCCATTTCTCCTCCCCTCCACTGGTGTGTTCATGTGTTCTCAGGTAAGAAAGGGTGGGACTGGGGGTCCAGCYTCATATGGAGGCCATCATGTCTCTGGATCTACAGAAATGGGCAGATATATGGTGAGCTGGTTTAACGTTCAGATCAATCAAAAAGCCTAACTGAAACATGTTTTTTTTCTTTAAGTGGGCTATGAAAGAAGAGGGAGGGCATGAAATGATTACAGTCAGGCTGACCCTTATTCAACCATCTTTTTTTATATATTTCTCCAGTTGAATTAAACTGATTTTATATTACAGTAAAGGTCGTTTTTATTCATCACCCAAACCTGGCATTTTAACAGGACTGGAGACTTTTTATTTTCACTGTCACGTGCAGAGGACCCATTTTCCTCACATCTGAATAAAATTTCTCTGTTGTGTTCAAACGTCAACTGAATTACAGCCTTAAAGCTCTTTGGTATAGTTCAGGGGTGTCAAACTCCTGTCCTCGAGGGCCGCTATCCTGCATGTTTTAGAGGTTTTCTTSCTCCAACACACCTGATTTTGATCGCTGGGTGATTAACAGGCTTCTGCCCAATTTGAAGAGTTAATTCAATCACTGAATCAGGTGTGTTGGAGCAAGAAAACCTCTAAAACATGCAGGATAGCGGCCCTCGAGGACTGGAGTTTGACACCCCTGGTATAGTTCATCTTCAGAGCCGTTTCCTTTGTAGGAGGCATAGTGAACCGTTTGACTCCACTTCCTTTTTTTGTTTGCCATGAGTGTCAAGGAGATGGTCAAACCCAGAAGTTACTGCCAGCAACCTTTAAGATACCATTAGGATTTTAGATGCAGTTCACAGAAACACACAAAGCAAATCCACTCAAGAACTCAGCAAAGCTTTATTTCCATGTACTTAAATTTCCCACACCTGAGGTACAGTGAATGCAGCACGAAGTAATGTTACAGTTAAGGAGGTTTCATTTCTTTTACTTTTGAGCTACTTTTATTTTGCACATCTGAACTTCTCACTGAATGAAATGTTGTTGAACATTAGAGTTTCAGGTTGCGTCTTTCATAATGATTTGTTAAATCACACTTTTGCTACCAAAAACCCTCATTTTGATTTTTAAGCCGAGTCTTTTTAATATTATTTTGATTTATATAAAGTAAAAAATGGCTAAAACTTTGGAAATGTTAGCAAAGTTAGACCAAATGCTATATTTTTAGATTTTTATACAAACTCCTGTAGTGATTATGTAACTACAACTTATCAAAACTAAGTTATGAGGAATATCACGAGTCCTTTTCTGTGAGAGGGATAAACACCCTTCTGTGTAAATATGAGAAAAACACACAATAAGTGATCGCACCCAAGAATTTGAGTTTTCTATGTACAACTTAACGTGAACAGTCAATATTTTTGTGCGTTAAAACATTAACAAAAATCACGTACGCGTCCGCACAAATTAATGTCAATATAACAACTCTAAAAAGAACAGCAAAACTTCAGGTTTAAGATGTTGATAAACCAGATGTCCTGATGCATCTCAGTAATCCAGGTAAAAAATCAAAAAGAAAAAAAATTGTATAGGTCTTCTGGACGGGTTCTTCTTTAATGAAACGTTTCGTCTCTCCTCCAAGAGACTTCTTCAGTCTGAGAGTTTCAGGCAAAATTCAGGCTTTTAAGCCCTGCCTCCATGTGACTAATACATCACATGGCTATCGTTGACACCTAATTAACACCTATTGTTAACAGGGGGTGGAGTGATACTGGCAATAGCAGCGCTGTAGGAGGGGGACAACTGAAAACGGAGGCCTCCACCTCTGTTTAATGATGGACGGTCTTTCTTCACAAAAATGGCTTCTTTTACTCCTCTCTCAAACCAACATTCCTCTCTATCAAGAATGAGAACATCCTCATCTCTGAAAGAGTGACCGCTGGCCTGTAAATGAGTGAAAACTGCAGAGTTCTGGCCATTAGACATAGCTCGTCTGTGTTGGGACATTCTTCTTCCTCGGGGCCTCCTCCCGGTGGGACGTGCCCGGAAYACCTCACCAGGGAGGCGTCCAGGAGGCATCCTTACCAGATGCCCGAGCCACCTCAACTGGCTCCTCTCGACGTGGAGGAGCAGCGGCTCTRCTCTGAGTCCCTCCYGGATGACCGAGCTTCTCACCCTATCTCTAAGGGAGAGCCCAGACACCCTGCGGAGGAAACTCATTTCGGCCGCTTGTATCCGGGACCTCGTTCTTTCAGTCATGACCCAAAGCTCATGACCATAGATGAGGGTAGGAACGTAGATCGACCGGTAAATCGAGAGTTTTCAGGCACATTAAACTTATATGACAAGGTTTTAGCTTAAGAAAAGAAGGAAAGGAGGAGATTAGTTCTAAAATTTAACTTAGCAATGTGTGAAAAACRAGAACGTGCACTCTGGGTCTCTAACCGACGCGTAGGGTTGGGCATAATCGTATCATGTGCAATTAATCATCAGAAAAACAATCGATTATTTTTTGGCACTTGACGATTAATACGATTAATGCCACCAGGCAGACTGACTGGTGCTCCTCTCCGCTTCAAATATGACAAACATTAAAAAAAGTTCTATAATTTATTTATCTGTCAACACAATTAAAAATTTGATGTACAGCCTGAAGTCTGTAATTTTGACATAATTTGGAACAGATTTTTATGAGGAGCAAATCTTTCCCACTAAAGTGGTCATATGACCAGGACATGAGTGTCCAGGGACTCCAGGGTATTAATTGTCAAATTAATCGTTATCAGCTAAGTACCACAATTAATCGTGATCATTTTTTTTGCCAATATTGCCCGACGCATCAGCCCAAAATCCGATACACTTGTCAAAACATTCAGCTTTACCTTTTGGCATTTCGACCATCAGGTCAAACATGTGGGAAGGATTCACCCAGGCTGGTAAGGAGAGCCAGGTCAGGTCCCTTACGGCCAGTAAAAACTTCCAAGTTTTGATTTACGGCGTCCGGAGATCTGCCTTTGTCTGACGGAGGAGCCAATGTCAGTTCCAGGTTTTTCTTTCAAAATAAAAGTTAACTTCTCRTCAGAAGTCTTAAAACAATGGAGCTTCAAAGCTGGCTATTTTCATTGCGAGCTCAGCTCAGGGAGACAGAGAAGTGGTGTCCCTCTTCGTCTCAGGTTTTTTTCTTGTCTGTCTCTACCGAGGCTTTGTCAGTGTTATTTTCTAAAGAGAGAAGAACTAGGCATGTGACCTCGACTTCTGGTGTTAGTTCAGGCAGAACGGAAAAGCTTAGACTAGAGTTGCTGAATAACACTTTTGCACCTGTTTCAGACAAACAAGTCCAACTTTGGCTGGATTAACACTGAATGAAAATGAGCTAAAGTTCACTGAAATAAGTGAACTATTTAAACTGAAATAAATCTTAAAATATTTGTCGATGATTCAAGCACAAATATTTGTATACATAGATTTCATAACCGAACATAGTGAACTCACAATCACAATGATCTATTTAAGTAAATTGAAAAATAAATCAGAAAAACACAATCACCTTTACTGTAAAATAATAGTCGATTAAACAAAGATTTGTGTAAAACAAATAAAGAAACATTGAAACAGTATTCTCTTTTGTGTGTTTTTTTCTTTTTTTGAGTTTCATGTGCCTGAAAACATCTGGTTTATCAACATCTTAAACCTGAAGTTTTGCTGTTCTTTTTAGAGTTGTTATATTGACATTAATTTGTGCGGACGCGTACGTGATTTTTGTTAATGTTTTAACTCRCAAAAATATTGACTGTTCACGATAAGTTGTACGCAAGTAATTTGTTTTATTCTGTAAATAAATATCATTTATTTTAGAAAACTCAAATTCTTGGGTACAATCACTTGTGTGTTTTTCTCATATTTACACAGAAGGGTGTTTATCACTCTCACAGAAAAGGACTCGATATTCCTCATAACTTAGTTTTGAGAAGTTGCAGTTACATAATCACTACACTCCTTTTTACAATTTTACTTTTTTTTTCTGTTTACTTTTCTGTTTTAATCATAGGTTTTACAGCATGAGCCACATAAAATGTCAGGTCCACTCAGTCTAAGACTCACTTTTGTGAAATGATCTGAAGCAAAACAGACACTGAAACAGGGTTTGCTCCAACTGCCTTTTAATTTTGAAGATGAAGTTTGTTTTATTTATAAATGTACAAAGTATCACACTTGAAGCCAGGTTAATGTGCGTTCATCTCTGCAGTGAGCAGCAGGGTCTTAGTTGTTGAGTTATTTTGTTTCGTCTCCAGGTTTCTAAACCAGAGAAGCATGGCAGCGGCACAGACAGTGACTACGATAACACACAGTCTTATGATCCTTCACAAAGGTAGGGATGATTTAATGTGTCCGCTCTGTAACATTTTGTTAGTCAAACAAAATCTGTCAGAAATTTTCCACCTGGTTAGGCGTTAAATCAAAGTTTTTTTTGTTATTTTTTTAAGTATGGGACGCAGCAGTGAGGAGGAAGGTCGGGGTGAGTCAGAGGAAGGAGGGGAGGCAGGAGAGCCAGACCCCACCCTGCCCTGCACGGAGGACGTCATCCTAAAGACGGAGCAGGTGACGAAGAACATCCAGGAGCTGCTCCGGGCTGCTCAGGAGTTCAAACACGACAGGTAGAGTTCCACACCGATCGCTTAGTCCTGTTTAAAGCAGAATCTGTCATGAATCACTTCGTTGACGAACATCTGCAGTGGATTAACTTTTGGAGTCAACCTGATTTGAGTTTGTACCACAGCTAATCAAATTACAATACAATGGGATTAATGTGACCACATTCTCTCCAACATTCTGGTTTTGCTTTTACTTGTTTACGTTTAATATATGGTGTAATCAAATACCGTATGATTACGTTTCCAAGAGATCGATCATGTGTACAAGGTCTGAAACTCTGGTATCAATGGTGGTGAAAAGCATCCTTTGATTGATGCTAGGCCTTCATTTACCATATTTATTCAAGTATAATACGTAAAATTAAATCCATAATATCATCCATAAGGTTGGGGGGTAGTATTATACTCGGATAAATATTTTTACTTATGTATTTTAACTAAAATATCGGCTTCATTCACAAAATGCCTCAGTCCGGAAATGAGACCGCATCGTAAAAAGCAGTTGAAGTGAGCTTACCTCTGACACTCCTTCATTCTTCAKAGCGAGATAGTAACAGATCCAGGCAGGTGACATGATGTGTAAAAGTGGGGGGGGGGAGTAGTCCTGCAGCTTAGTAATGATAACGAACTAAAGACATTAGCGTGTGACCGAGCCGCTCCTGGTACAACAACAAACACGTTCGTCTGTAATGGCTCCCGTCTACCAGTGCTCTGAAAAAGTTTGTTTCCTGAAAAAAGTTTYCCCACCAGAGGGGGCGCTTGCGAGTAGGAAGTAATCTGCTTTTCCCCCACAAGATGGCCCAAATCTCATGTGAAGTCTCTGACCTTTGTGTTGGCGCCTCCTGGTGGACTATGTGTAAAATGTCAGAATTCATATGATGCTGCTTCAGCTGATACATATTTGTTGTCAAAATACCTTTTAGTACATATGTTGTTAAAATAAAATGAACAGTCCAATGATCATTTTACTGATATGTATAAAAACTGCAAAGGTCGAAAAATCTTGAAGTCTGTATGAAATTGGAGGTAGTTTGAGGATTAAATTTTTTATGCTTTTTAAACTCAAAAAAGGGGGGGTCGTATTATACATTAGATCGTATTATACACGAATAAATACAGTAGTTATATTTCTACCAGTTAGCCACTTGATTCTTGTCATTAAAGTCATGGTTTGAACATAACTTCGTCTCTTTCCTCAGCTTCGTTCCATGCTCTGAGAAGATCCACTCTGCGGTCACTGAGATGGCATCTCTCTTCCCCAAAGTAAGTTTCTCTGCTCAGGTTCGGCGTTTGTTTGCCTCTGGTTTCGCCGCTCTCTCTCTCTGTGTGTTCAGTGTTCAAGTCCCCACCGTCACATTCTCCTCCGTCTTCTCCGCAGAGGCCGGCTCTGGATGCRGTCCACTGCTCCCTGCGCCTGCTGGCCTCCAGCGCCTCGAGGCTGCAGGTGGAGTGCCGCAAGGCAGTGCCCTCGGAGCCCGGGGCCCCCGCCGTGGACTACCAGCTGCTCACGCAGCAGGTCATCCAGTGCGCCTACGACATCGCCAAGGCCGCCAAGCAACTGGTCACCATCACGACCCGCGAGAAGAAACAGTGACCGAAACGCGGCGGGGAGAGACGGGAGAGGATCCACGGATGGGAGGGGCCTTTCAGGGAGGGGGCGGGGCTTGGAACGACAGAGGCAGGCGGAGCAGCTGGAATCGTTACAGATATGCAGTTTGGAAGACTCCAGAGAATCACGAGTGTGAAAGTATGGAGGGGATGAGAAGAAGGCTCGTATGTGGAGCTGAAGTTTGAGGTCTGGTGTAGATTTTATCTCAAACTGTGACGAGCGACCCCGACGGTGGAGATGTACAGTGAACCGGATGGTGACTCTTTTTTAATTTATTTTACTTTGGATCCACGTCGTCCGTCCGCCTCACGTGTTTAAGCTGCCGGGCAGGGAGGGAGGTGGATGCCTTGTCCTCCCCATCTTCCGTCCCAAGAGGAGTCGGGATGCTCCTCTTCCTCCTTCCTCCTGGTTGCCGTCGCATCTTCTCTCTCTCCAACCTGAAATGCTGTTTCACCCCCCCGCCCCCTGAAATCAGTTCACACCCCACCAAGGCCTCTCAGACCCTCCAGCCTGGGTGATTTCTCCAGGAGGGGGTTTCAGCTCTAACCCCCTCCTGTTGGTGGTACACAGCATGATCTGGCATGTTTTCAGTTCTTTCTCCTCTCCTTTATTTTTAATGCAGATCAGTTAGATTTGCACCTCTAAGGACAAAAATCTTTTTTTTATTTACTGACTTATAAAAACACTTACACTGGAATAATTGTGATTTATTGTTATTGTTTATCCTCCTATTGATTTATTTTGTTGTAAGGATAATTTTACTGACTGTCATTCATGTTTATTTTATTGTCTGATATGAATCATGTAACGGAACAGGGAGAAAATGCACGTCGACCTCCTGCGGGGGACGTACGCGCACAAACAGAAACCTGTGAAACGGTCCTCGCCATTTCTTCAAACGCTCCTGTTTTCAGAGTGGAAACAGAGCGTTTCGTTTCTTTTCATGTTTTTTTTTGTAGCCAAGTTGCCAAAGCAGATCGTGTTGGGAGACATTTTTATTTTCTGTAAGATCGGAGGCTGACCTGCGGATCAAAATGCCATTTTTGCGTATGTTTCGTCTCTTTTTTATGTTTACGTTCTTTTCTTTTTTTTAACTATATTTTTGCCTCATTTAGCAGAGACAGTGGAATCATCTCAGAATCAGCCTCTTAACTGGGCCGAGCAGGACAGGAAGCGTTGAACCTGACAGGACAGCAGTATTTTTAAAAAAATTTCCGCGTTAAACAGTGAAACGCCTTAAGTCGACCTTTGGAAAGCTGGAACACTTTGTCATTTCTTCTGGGAGAAAACAGGCATGTATTTATTTAGTTTGCCGTGTTTTTTTATTTTTATTTCTAGAACTGTCTGGCGAGCACAATCAGACACGCTGAGCCCCCGGATCGTGTTCCGTGTCCATGAATTCTGCCGACAGGAAACAGCATTGGAAACAAACTTTTTTTTAATATATAGTTACAAAAACAAAACAGTGCACTTAATCTACTGAGCGTCTTGTGCTGAACAAAGAAGGTCCTGTCTGTAAGGACGGCTGCAGTCCTCCTTCCCCGCAGCCTCCAGGTGACTCCTGCTCTGCTTCAGTGTTTTCTCCTGAGCTGGTTCCTCAGTGTTTTCGTTCATTTTATTCGTCGGCCTGTTCAGATGAGCCTCTGCATGTCAAACCTTGAAACTTTTGAGGATACGATCAAAACCGTGGTGCAGCTACTTTTATTGGTGGAGAACTGCTGCCTGTTTTATTAACACTATCAACAGCACCGGCCCATCTCAGTCACATTTTTGCTTTTATTCACCTTTTTTTTTTCCTCCCACGCTACCTTTAAGCTCCTGAAAGTGGATTTTTTTGCATCAAACTCATCAGATTGTTTGATCTTGAATGCCTTTGCACATCATCATCTGCTGTTACGCTGATTTATTATGAATTTAAAGGACTTGGACACTAATTAGGAGCAGTTAGAAATAAAAAAAGACATGCTTCTTCAATCATAAAAGCCCATGTTTTAGAYTAGAGCCATTAATATAAATATCTATTTTCATGCTATATTTTCTATTAAGCTACATTTTCGATTTGTTGGCCTGAAACAGCTTGTAGGCTGTGACGTCTGCCCACCAAACCTACCCACCTGATATACTTTGTGATGTTTTTAGGTTTGGTTGTGACGTGGTACTACCCTCCTCTGGACTCGGGACGGTGCACATGAACAATCCCACAGTGAACCACAGGTGGAGCTCGGCAGCTAACGGCGCGGTCTTAGTTGCACTATTTCCAAACACCAGCTGGTTGGGAGTAGGATCTCTGCGACGCACCGCACACTCCCTGAAGTCTTAGTTCAAGTACATTAGGTTTGGGTTTGGGGACGGGCTGTAAGGTCCGAAGCGCACTTTTCTTTTTTTTCTTTTTTTTCAGCTCAGCACTACAAGTCATCTCAAATGGGTTGGTGAACACTACGTAGGGTGCCTCTAGCGTGAATGTTAAATGCTTTCCGACACAACCGTGTACAAACTTCAGGATGTTACGTTAAAACCGGACACACCCTCGGAACCAGAATCAGTTTGGACCAATCCCTGCACAAATACACACTGCAGCCAAAAATCAACACTTTCTTTTTTTCTTTGCCCCCCCCACAGCAGAGGATTGTGGCCCCACGTTTCCTCACAGCTCTGTGCTTTTCAGAGATGGGTGATGGGAGATTTGTCTTTTAACAGAAAATGTTAACTGTATAAAGTAGAGAAAACAATGACTTACTACAAAAAAGGTCAATTGTAATGGACACTCATAAGCTGTACATTTGTAATAAAATTAAACAATTTAATTGTCTTTAATGTGTGGAGACTTTTTAATGGCAGTCAGGTTTGGGCTTTTGAACATTTTGCTTTTAAAATCGCACCCTCAACACGACTGGGTGTGACACGCACATTATTGAATTTATTTATCATCTGAGTTTAAAGCAGTTGAGTAAAAAACAGGAACAAGACAAAAATGAAGACCTTAAAGGCACAGTGTGTAGGATTTTGTCAATTCTTTTAGCCGAAATTGAGATAATCCCTATTGACAATAATAAAAAACATGTCTAATCATTGCAGACAAAGACCTTGTTTTATTATTTTTACCTTATAAAAAGCTGTTTATATCTCCATGGTCGCGGGTCCCCACTGCAGGCAGCCGCCATCTTGTCTACGAAGGCTCATGAAGGACAAACTGCGGTGGCAGCATCAAAAACGGTTTTAGTTGTAATACTATAAATGTAATATTTGTTGTCTGTCATTGTAGCTGGGATAATTTTACTTATTAAAGCTCATAATCTTACCACTTGAAACATCACTAGCCCTGAAGCTGCTGGTAGACATCGCGGTTGGAATTATCAAAGGTTTTTGACACCTGAGAGACACCGTAGAAACTCCTTTGTGTTTGGAAGCGGGGGGTGGGGATGGGGGGAGGACCAGGGAGGATGATTCAACCACTCAACCACTAGATGAAAACAAATCCTACACACTGTGCCTTTATTTATCCTAATTGTCTTTATTACATTGCACTCCAAAATTGTCATTATAACATTAAGCTATGAGATGACGYTTCTATGATTTTTCATACCTTTTTATTTTGTTTGCCCTAAAAAAAAACTATTTTTTCTTCAGTCTCCGTTGTAGCCAGGTATTGGGTACCTGAAGTTCTATGTACTCATTATATTTTACACAAACCTGCATCATCGATGTCTAATAATCTAAAACAGAGTACCCAGAGAAATACAAAGTCAAAAACAGAATAATGGTTCAATTTCTACCACAATCATTTCTAATCAGCTGCTAGTATTGAAAAAAAAAACAAACCAATCCATATGTTGCTTACAACAGCAACTTAACATTTTACATTCTAAAGCTTTACAAGTAAAAACATGATACTAGAAAACCTACATATTAAAACAAACATTTKAAACTTGGAGGTTTTTTTTTTTTTTTACATCTGTTTTTTGGAAACTACCCTAAAATACAGCCTCCTTTATGCTGTTCATAAAACAACTTCTTTCACAAGCAAAACAAAGTGATGGATCATCTGTCAGGACGCTGTTCAAAAGATTTTGGTAAAATAATAAAACCCTTTATGTTTCTTATTCCTCAGATAAAGCTGAAGTGTTTTAAAATACCCGTGACATGAATTTTTTTTGTAATAAACATGAATGCATTTTTGGAAAGATGTTGATARAATACTGCTAAACAAATTTCACGCTGCTGAGATGATTATTTGAGATATTTGCATGTGATGAAACAGGAAGTGATGTCAAAGGGGAATGTCTGCATGTAAGCAGCATTGTTACAGCTAACACAGGGTGTGGAGAAGAATCCAATGTTTCTTTACATCAGTTTGAGTCACTATCAAAGACAGATGAAGAGTTAAAGCTTAAATAATGTTTTAATAAAACCAGACAGTTTAGTTTATTAAAGATTCACCCATTGATGTCACTTCCTGTTTCACTTTGAGCCAAATTCAAAAGAAAATAAGCCAGTTATGGGATAAAATGGGTAAAATCATGTGTATTATGCCAATTTTCTTAAGTATAAAAGATGTTTTCTTTGACTTTTTGTATTTGAAGGATATGCATGTCTCAGGTTCAACAGTCTTTCTAATCTTTGTTCAGGGAATTCAGGTCTTCCACAGTTTGTTCTTATGAGATGATTTGCACGTCTGACACTTCAACAATCCACTTGTTTCACTCATGATGAAAGCAGCAAGACACTTAAACATCAACACTTGTTAGTTGTGCAAATTAGTAAGTTAATTTCATTCAAAGGTGCCATCTATGTCCAAACTGCCTCACCAGTTCAACTGGGCACTCAAAAAGTGCTTTCAGCTCCAACGCTGCCCAACATTTACGTATCAGATATTTAGGATTTAAACTTCTAACCTGTTGTATGTAGTATCACTAGTGTAGAACAAAAGGGTCAGCAAATTGAGACGTTCTAAAAATATAGATAGAAAAAAGGTGAAGTTGTTGAAAAACCAGATTGACAAATAATTTAAGTCCTGATGCAGTGAGTCCAGGTCCAAACGCCACAAGAAGTTCGACTCGATGACTCAGCAGCAGATCTTGGATGTGGTTTACAAAGTTACAAAAAGTATTTAATCTTGAAACTGTCCCTGACCTCACTGCTGTGGTTAAAATTGGGCAAATAGAGCCAAATAGACTGACCAGGTTTTCAGATTATTTTCTGCTTCTTGAATTGTCAGTGTTTCTGTAACGCCATCATACATCAGTGTAGAATAAAAGTCCCATCTGGATCCAGTCAGGCGAACAGCTTCAGCAGTCTACGGACACTCGTCTGAGCTGGAGGAACTCGGCAGAAGAACGTACTCCTTCCTCCGGCCTCTTTTTCGTCTTCTCTTTGCGATTCTCAGCCGCTTCCGTATCACATCTAGAAGCATGAAGCAGAAAATCCACATTTCTGGCAAATCTAAACAACTAATTGTGACCTCTTTCTGAAAATTAGATGCATCAGCTTTTTTTTTTTTTTTTTTTCGCGGCCCACCTACCTGCGACGCTGTCGTAGTCCTGCTGGGGGTCGTGCCAGTACAGGCTGGGGGTGGTCCTCCAGTGGCGGTAGAGGCGGGTGTGAAGAATGGAGAGCGTGAGGAGGACGAGCAGAAAGCCCAGCGACGCCGCTGCCCACACGGCTTCATCGGTCCTGGGGGTCTTTTGGAGGCCGACCCTCTCTGYGGCGACATGGTTCTCTGTGCACTCACATGGCTCGCCTGCTTTGCACGCCCCGCAGTCTTTACTGCTGGGGTCTTGGTGGGCTTCTGGCAGCGGCAGAGACTCTGGCTTCTTATCTGCCACTCTTTCTGCAACATCAACCGTTTTATTTTTTATCGTTTGATCCACTGTCATATTCTTATCTATTTTATTCTTCTTGCCTCTTTGAGCAGAGACCTTATGGTCCTSTTTGACCGGGTTTGTACCTTCATCTTTAGAAATGGCAGCTAGGACTTCAGGCCTCACTGCTTGGCTCTCATTGTTTACACCCCCTGACAACACATCTATCCCTGGAGACTCAGATTTTTGACTATCAGGCTGCAGCGCTGCTGTTTGTACCGTTGGCCTGCCGTCCTCAGGCTCCTTTAACCCTGATGAATTAGTTTGAAGTAAACCCTGAATCTGCGACTGAAGAGCTGAAGGATCCGAGAGAGTCCTTCTTCCTGGCAGTGAATCTGCTGCTAATAATCCATGTGTACTGCTGTGATTCTGTACAGACTCGGTCCGTTGGGGGGTCGTTCTGTTGGTTTGACCAGTCCACAAACTGGTGTCGTTTGTTGTTTCATTCTGCTTTTCACTGTTGTTCTCTTTTCCCCCGATAGCGGCTCGAATTCTCCTGCTTTTTTTCCTCTGTTTACGCAGTTTTAAGTGTTCCTCCTTCGTGCTGGGCGCTCCATCTCTGGTTCCTCTCAGTAGTGAAGAGATGGTGTGCTCACAGCATCGCCTCAAGGACWCCTGGGGATTTACAATAACAGATAGTTGCATCATGCAGACTTCTAAATTCACCGTTTCTTACTGGTTTTACTGAGACGTTTGCTAACAAATGTTAAATAAATGAACAAAAGCATATCTTCGGACCTTCGTTTCTGTCGATCCTTCCAGCAGGTGCAGCTCGGCCGACCTGGTCAACAGGAGGTTGTACTTCCTGGTCTGGGTCACACCGTCAAACTTAGGCTTTTTGTTTTGTGTGACCTGCAGCCAATCACAGACGTCTGAGGAGCCCACAGTGGTCATTTCCAAAGTGCGACCCCAGGACACCAAGGCTACTGGCTGAGCACAGAGTGAACACAAACCAATGACTTTTGTTTGGAGGATTTAGACTTATTCCCACCCCTGGCTTTAGCCATCCATTGATTAGGATTATTATCAGCTGTCCAAAAACAAACGATATATGGCAGGAAGGAATCATGTTTAATATAAATCAAAAGGTGAAAATCCAAACCTACAAACTCATATTTAATATGGTTGCAAGTCAAACACTGTTTCCTACCATGTGTGTGCTGAGATGTGGGTGTGGGCTGATGATGTAATCTGCGAGACAGGAGCGAGCCAACTGAGTCAGGAGGCGACGCTCGTGGAGTGGTGCACAGGGATGGTAGAGCAAAACAGTAGCTCCGTCCTGGAAAATAAACACACACGTGATCATCATTGTCCCATGATACACTGTACGTGCAAAATTCAAAGCAACATACTCATGTTCTTTGGTTAAAAAACTGGTGTATTGCTTTGAATTTACTCAACTCAGTTAAGTGGAACCAGTTGACATAACATGGTTAAGTAAATCCAACATTTCATTTTTAGAGTGTACCTACAACTGCTGGGTGGGGAGGGGGGGGGCTCACCACAAGAGACAACACGGTTTTACTAAAACTGGGACAAAAACCACTGCTGTGYAGCATCAGCTTATGAAACAAGTTGCTTAAACTCTGCTCTGTGCCTGCAGAAGGCTCTTTTTTTAACTTCTCTGTAAGCAATATACAGTGGCAGATCTAAGATTTTTCTGAGTAAGGGGCCATCAAGGGGCCACTATATCTATAGAGGGGACAAGTATTTGTTCAACCTTCTTTCACACAAATCCCCAGTTCTCTAACCCAACAGATACCGCTGTGTGACGCAGCTTTTCTCAGCTTGTTTAACTCCGACACTGAGGAAGACTTCGATGGTTTCAGTGCGCCGAAGGACGATGAATGAGACGTTTTGTTGGACCAGAAACTGTTAAAGAAAACTACCAAAATAAGGTCAGTTAAATGAACCGTATTCCTCCGAACTTTAATTCCTAAAGGTTTGCTTTTTATGTTTTGATGTTTAATTCACTTTTTTGACGACAATTTTGGGTGTACTGTTTTTTTATGTTGGGGGTGCGGCTTATAGTCCGAAAAATACGGGTAATTTAAAAAAAAGCTTGCATAATAAATTCTCCTTACCAGTTTTATATACATTTTTACTAGATAAAACACTTTCAAACAGAGCATTTGAGAAAATCCAGTCATCATTTGTCAGTTTGAAAGACTTTCTGCAGTATAATTCTGATATTCTTAAGAAGAGGAGACTTCTGTCAGCTTGATTCATGCTGGACTTTCCCATTTGACTCATTAGCACCTCTAGTGTTTGGACATGGAACTTCATCGGCCATCATTGCTCCCAGGTAAAGGACAGATGAGTGACAGGACAGGGGCACTTCAGGGGGCCAATCAGATTTCAGCTGGGGCCAATGCCCCTGTGCACCCCCCCCCCCAGAACTGCCACTGGCAGTGTAGCTTTTAGTGTAGTTTGCTCACAAATGTTGTGTTCCTGATTACCTTTTGAAGAAAGCCCAAAGACTTCTTGGATAAATACAGTAGGAGAAAAGTATTACTAAGATGTTTAACTGTGCAGAAAAACACACTGATCGTCTTTGATTTAGTTGTGTTACAATAATATGGAGATGTATGTGGACATATTTGCAACTAATTGGATTTTTTTTCTTCTGTTTACAACTTTTACACTTCTCATTTCTTACCTGAGTTACTGTCAATGCATAACATATCTAATGAACAGGGCATGGACAGTTACCTGTCAACGCTATTATCTTGTCATGTCAACATGTGCAAAAACATTGTAGAGTTTTAATTGTAACAAACAATGCTGATCTAAAAATCCATTACTGACTTTTCTAAACTGTATTCATTATTTGGTCTTTAATGCTCAGTACATTTTTGGTGCAGGGATTTATCCTCACAATACATTACAACACACAACTGGAAGACAAGCCAACCTTTCTACAGCAACACTGTAAATACATGACTGAGTGTTGGGGCATCAGTCCAAGCCTCCATCCCAGCCTTGACTGGATGGACGATGATCGTAGATGGCGCCAATTTCTACAAACCTCCTCAAGTGTCTTTGGTTGTACCTGCTTCGCCCATTGTGGTCTTTATAGTGCGTTGGTCCGACTTCCATCTTTTTAAATTTATCACAGCACTCTATAAGTGCGTGTGAATCTGTATGCCTTGTATTTAAAGAAACCTCCTGATATATATGCGTGTTTCGAACAGCTCTGTGGAGTCTAGCAGGATTGATAAAAAAAGTTTACATCTTGAAGTTAGACCAGGGATTATCAGTGCTTTGGAATTCACCATCTCTGCTACATACTCAAAGTTTGAAGGATAAGTTCGCAAGTACCACCTTGCCATTGTCAAGCAATCCACAAGCTAATCAACAGGCAGCAGTCTGCTGACATCGTCAATCACTTGCACACAATACCYAGTATCACCCATCTGGATCTGCCAATAAAGTGGTCCAGAAACACAGTTGGAACCAGAAATGGAGACACATTTGGCCGATGCTGAATCAATGAAAACTGCTTAAAGGCAGGCACGTGGAGAAAGAGGCTATACTGAGCTCATGCTGCTGTGGTTACTGTCCCTGACTGTCACTGAACCAGTAAGTGTAACTGCCCTCATCACGGTCCCGAGACAAGCCAGAGACAGAACCACTGCTAGGATTTTGCAACTTACGTGCAAGTTACCAAGCCACCGTTGAGGAGGACAATACACGTACTCTCCACTCTCTGCCATTACTGGTCTGAACGCTCCACTGCAAAACACATAAGCAGAAACACACACCCACAAGTTTAGATCCCTAATAAAATATACATCTACTACAGAAGCAACAGTCACAAAGATAATAGAGTATGTTTTAGCTGTTTGTATAGAAAAAAAGACTTCATTTCTGCAAACATTTGTTGCAAATACATCTTAACACATACCTGTTGGGTATGGTGTGGCTGTAGGAGATGGGTTTGTCCATGCATACCTTCTTAGCCGGCTAACGTCAAAAAGAAATCAAAGAAAAAAGTTGAAGTGGAGTTTTAAATGCACAAGCTGTACACTGACTCAATGACCAAATAAATTCAGTGTTTGCTGTTGTTTTATTATTTTACACTCAATAAGCACAAGCCTTTAATCAGCCCACCTGAAGCTGCTGCAAGCAGGGTTATAATAGTTAACTAAAACTAACTAAATAATGAAAACTGAAATTGAAAAAAAAAAACATTTTAGTTAAGTGAAATAAAAAAACATATTAAAATGAAAAAACAATAACTAACTAAATCTGTATACTCTTTTTACAAAACTAGCTAAAACAAACTGAAATTATAGATAGAATATCCTTTGTTTTAGTGTTTGTAAGTTTATTTTGAGCCATGTGGACCTTTTTAATTTTTTTCCTGATTGAATAGTTTCACATTAGCTGCCCTCGTCTGCCAAATGACGACAGCAAAAGTTGGGAGAAAGCAGCAACGTCCATTTTGGGATTTCTTGGAATATGACTGCGAGAAAAATCAAAGAAAATGTCTTGTAGTGGAAACAGGTGATAAAACAGGTGGAATGCTTCAAGGGGAAAACTGCATGAATCGATCTCACACAAGATGTTTAACTATGACTATCATGACACGCTAGCTTCTCTCAGTAGCTCCCGTGAAAAAGAAGCAACAGGTAGCACCGGTTTGGAGACAACTACTATCACTGTCCTAAAATAATCGCCCAAGTCCTTAGTTGGCAAAATTGAGTTATGCAATTATTTTAGGAAGGTGTTGCTATACAGTAATGGACGCTTTAACTAGGGACCAAAAAGCTGCTGGTTATTTAACTCCCAGGAACACCACAAGCTTGATGCATTGGCATGGCAAATATGTTTATTCAAACTATTAAAAAACTAATACTAGAAATAATATAAACTAAACTAAAACGGAGAATTAAAAAATGCAATAATAACTAATAAAAACTAGCAAATCCACTGTAAAAACTAATTAAAACTAACTGAATTAAAAAGAAAAAAATGTCACAACGAAATAAAACTAAACTATAATGAAAAATCCAAATCTATTATAACCTTGGCTGTAAGTAAGCTGTCATTACGCCTTTGCTTTACTCAAATCATTACTTTTGAATTCAGATGTGTGGTGAGTGTTATCTAACTTTGATTGGATTTAAAGATATGGCAGAGTACAGCTTCCTGAGGGCTAAAGGCTGAGTAAAATTCAATAAACACAGCAAAAAGAAAATGCTCTTCAAAGTGTTTTCTCACCTCTGGGTCATACACTGTGTCGATATTTGGAAGCCTCTGTGGACAAAAGCAAGAATAAACTCAATGAGTCAGTCACAGGGCTGCCTGACTGACAGCATCAGACAGGASAGATTCATGATGCTGAGGCTGAAAAATGATCCTACATGAGCCAAGATGAGGCTGAACTAGAGTTGTGCCAGATGCAAAAAGTTTATAACTATTGTTTTCCTATGATTGTTTTAAAGCTTCCTGGTGCAAACACTCACCAACAACAGGGGTCTCATTTATAACGGATTGCGTGGAAACCATACTAAAAGTGAACGTACGGCCAAAAGGCGGAAATGGCGTACGCCAAAAAAAAATTCAGATTTATAAAACCGTGCGTACGCATGTTTCTGCGCATCTTTCCTTTATAAATCACAGCCGCACATCAGAGTTTGCGCACGAGGTCCCGCCTCAGGTTCTACCCTCTACACGCCCACATTCAACCATAAACAGTCAATGTAAAGTACCTCATGAATCTTAAGATGTATTTAAATCAGTCAGCTGATCAATGCCAACAAAAGTGATTGGTTCAGACACGCTCCGT